TTCGTTTATTTCACGGTTCGTATTGTTGTTTGTTTTAAGGCATATAAAGGTCGGGATTGATAATCATATTCTGTATGATATATACTTAATTCCCTCGTTTACTATTAATTAAGTGTAATTTTTGTGTGATATGTTAATTTGACATCTTATATATTATATCTTTCGTTAGATATTCTAAATCTTATATTTCAATATTTATAGTAATTACATGCTTTAATTAACATTTTTTTTTCTTTTTTTTGTGTAACTCATTTATTGTCTTTCATTGTTACAAGATTGTGCATATCATAGTTGAGCCAACCTTCTATATACAACAAATAAATCTACCATATTATTTGATTACTTAAATAACACTAACATAATTTTATTAATATAGTAAGTTTATTTGTCGTATATAGAAAGTTGGCTCCACTATGGTAAGTTTGTTTGCGCGCTAGTCTCCATCCTCTCACACAAGGAAATATGAATAATAATTTTTTATATCTGTATATTTTTATTTTATTTTGTCATGTTACTCTTATTGGAGTTGACCATATGAAGAAGATGTAATTTTACTACTCAAAATTATCTGTCGAGTTTTATTATGCATAAAAAGTGGCACAAATGTTGTATTAGACACATGAAAGGGCTCCAAGTTGGGATTGACTTTTCATTCTCAGTTTACTTGTGTTTTTAGAAATGTATAGTCATTGGTGGATCCAAGTACAGAACACGTAAGGCATAGGGGTCACATGCCCCCTGTAGAAACTTTGAGTAATAATATAATTAACACAAAAAAAAAAAAAATGCATGTTACCAATTATTATTACAAAGTTGTTTCAATATTGAACAAACATATATATATATAAATACTATGGGACCATCGGATGGCTCTCTTATAGAGTCATTCATTACTTTATGTACTGACACATGTCCAATGTGTATTAATTTATTGCAGGACGCTTGTCGATACACCATTTGTGAATAACTGTGGATGACTCCATAAACTGAGTCATCCGATGGCTCCATAGCAAAGTCCTTCTAAATTCTAGAACTTAACGTTGATGTTATACTCAAATTTTTGGTTTTATTCTTTTCCTTCCCAAAAATATGAAAAATCCCCAAAACAAAAAATAAATAAATAAATAAAAATTTTGAGTTGTAGGAGTGTGCCCAATTGAGAGTATAATATTAACTAGTATTTCATCTTCTACACATGCACAAATATTGCAAATAAAATTTTAGGTTAGACGTGTGTTTATTTAATAATTAAAATCAAAAGTTAAGATAATGAGTATATCACATTTTATATATTTTATCATTAGTAATAACGATATAAATATAAACTATTTAACTTATATATTAACCTTTATATGACCAATTAATTGAATAAAACAATATTAAAATTATTATTATAGCTATTGTGTACAAATAAAAAAACTTACTTAATGAGTTGAAATAAAAATAATTTTAAATAAATAATTTGAAAAAATCTTTATAAAAGAGTGAGATGTAATGCGACTTTATGAATAGTTAATAGTAACAATTGTATAATAAAATAGATAAAAAATAATAATTTTTTGAAGTAACGGAAAATGGAGAGAAAGCGAAAGGAGTTTTATTAATTGTTGTGGTAACCATAATAATAATAGTAATAATAATAATAATAATAATAATAATAATAATAATAAATTGAATAAAAAACAAAAGTAATAGACTTTGTGGTTATAATAATAATAATAATAATAATAATAATAATAATAATAATAATAATAATAATAATAATAATAATCTATAGTAATATAAAGAGGTTGTTGGAAAAATACAAAAATAGTAAGGTTGAC